CACTTTTTTCTGCTGCATATTTGTTGAGTGATGGGTTCTTGGTTAGTTCGTTGTCAGGCAGAGTGAGTTCGTTGTTGCTTATTCTTTCTGATCATCTGATCTCCATCTTCAGTATCGAGTGAGCGTAGATGGCAGATGTTGACGATGTGTGTATGTAGTTTGTTGGAAATGCTTTTCATAACGCACCAAGTCTGTCAACCATTACATTAGTATTGAAAATCCGGGTGTTTTTCATGCTTTATGCTGAGTGTGGTGTAGTGGAGTGCATTAGATCTCCACATTGATTTCAGGTTAATGAAGGCCTGTCTTGGGGTCTTTCCGATCGTGCCTTTGACATCCTCATCTGTGTCGCCATCACCTATAGTTGAAGCGATGCCACCTAGGTAGGTGTCATTTCGTCTCCCCGATTCCAGCGAGGAGTAAGTTTATTTTTATTTTATATATTTTTTATGCTTTGAAATTTCTGTAGCGATTGGATTAGTTTTCTGTTGTTGGGTTGCTAGCCTTATGCCCAACCTTCCCTCTTTATCCGGGCGTAGGACCTGCTAGTGAACTAGTAAACTAGGTGAAGAAGGTATAGTAGTGTTTTTATATTCAGTAGCAGTATTTATATAAAGTCTTATGTACTTCTCCCTTGTCTTTCAAGATGACCAACACGCAGAGAGCTTCCAGTGAGAAAGTAACTTCTGCCAGATATCTACATGAGTTAAGATGTTTGTCTACAACTAGTTTTGCTGACAATCCTGAAAGTTCTACGCAATACAGCAGAATAGTCTTTTTTTCACTAACCCGGGAAAAAATGAAGGGGAACAATAGAGGAGAACAGGCAAAATACAAGAGTTTATAAAACACAAGAGGAGAGGATGAGGCATACCAGATACTCTCAGCTTCCTAATATAGAAAGGTAGGCAAAAAATTCTTTCAGAAATTAGTGGGATATGGAAGGACGAGGAAAGGTTCAAAGGAAAACGCACACCGAGATAAATCACATTTGTAACACTCTCCTTTGGCACGACTATCAATGGAACAGTAATCATGGGAACTAAGCAGTTTTAACATCTGAAACTAAAGTTTATAGTCTAACACTTTACAGAAATAAGTATAAGACCATTCATAGAGGACTATAGTCTGATAGTAGATAGAAAATCACACAGTTGGGAACAATCTGCTGAAGAGGAGATAGATATAGAAAATGTCAGGTAATCAGCATATTTAATGAAATTGATACCAGTTGAAGATGGTAAGTCATGCAGAAAGAATGAGAAAAAACAAGGAAAGCATAGCTTTTTGGGAAAATAAAGAATCCAACCGGTTGATTATCCGTAACTCGTCAGAACCCAGAACCTATTACCTCGAAATTGAGTTTCTTTATTGTCAACATTCCTACTATAATTATGGTGATAAGGTCTAATTGTAGGATGATTGTTGATTTTGTCTTGAATTTGTACAACCAATTATCCTTAACCTGAATGGATTCAGTAATATTGTCGAGGCTGGTGATCGTAATCTACTCGTCATCAAATTATTTAATACGTTCCTATTTCCCATTGTGACATCAAACACAAGATATTCAATGAAGAGGAATCTTTTCAACGGATTTATTCTCAATCTGTACATTCGTATACATATATATATATATATATATATATATATATATATATATATATATATATATATATATATATATATATATGATATTTAAAGACTGTAATCCTTGAGGAACAAGGAACAAGGAACTCTGGGAACGAACCAACCAAGAACCTATCACGCAACAAATATGCAGGAAGAAGTGGAGATGGATTGGGCATGCACTGAGAAGGCCGACTGAGGACATCACGCGTCAGGCCCTCGAGTGGAATCCCCATGGGAAGCGACGTGTTGGACGTCCAAGGGTGACATGGAGGAGGTCGTGTGAGGAGGAAATGAGAGCTTCTGGGCTGTCGTGGGACCAGGTTCAAAAGATCTCAGAGAACAGAGGTCACTGGAGGCGTGCTACTGAAGCCCTATGTTCCACTAGGAACCCAAGGGACTAATAATAATAATAATAAATCCTTGAGGAGCTTTTAACTTAAATAATAGGGGGTTGAAGTAATCATAATGATAATGGTGGTTATGATGATAATAATGTTGCTAGTTGATGACATAAAGGTTGAATTATAACAAAAAGGGTTACATAAGATTTTCGAGTCGTTTATAAGGTGCATATAGATTAAAAAAAGGGGGATGAGAACGTTAATAAACAATCAAATGTGATTGGACAATATGAATGAGACAACAGGTTAATTGGAGTAAATTGAAAATGTTTTGTTAAAAGTTACGATTATTAGGAAGATCAAATGAAATAATACCGGAAACAAATGAATACAAAAAACAGAGTGATAATGACGATATAAGAGTACAAAGATTATTCTGATAAAAAAGAGGGGAAGGGGTGAAAAATGAAAAAAGAGGCTGAAGTGCGCCAAGACCAAGGTAGAGACAAAGACTGTACATACTTCTTTTACACACAAACATCAGGATTCAGTTCATGGATAGCCAAGGCGTCTGATGTTTTTAGAAGTTGAACACAGAGGAAACGTGAGGTGTTTGGGCGAATTCAATAGACAACCTTAAAATCCTTGTTTGGGTCGGTTGAATGGTTGGAATCGATTAAATGCTCAAGGATAGAACTTGTAATGCATTTCCTTTCACCCTTTATAAAACAAGGCAGGAATAAGTTCTTGTATACATGGTGATAACAATCTTTGACCACGGTCGATCTACCTTGCTCCACAGGAGTAGGTGAACTGGTTGTGGCCTGTTGAGGAATATTGTCTTTTAAACAAACTGAGAACAATTTACGACTGGTAAAGGTCAAGTGAAGTTTAGCTAAGAAAAGAGTCCTAATCATTGATCTGGAAAGACGATTTTGCAGGATATCTGACGCTGGATCACCTTTGGAGTCCAGATTCGTAAACAAAGTCGTTTAAAAACTCAGCTAATGTATGTTTTTCTCGCATATTCTTATAGATAGATCAGTTAGGATAGCCGTTTTCCGCGAGCATCCCTCTTAGAAAGTCGACCAAGCTGAACACATTCCATGCTACATATATTACATAATCGATAGCAGAGTGAGCGAATGTGGTTTCTTACTTATGATCGGTACCCAGCTATACAAATTAGTAAACTGTATATTCCATATAGGTTTCCTGTAAATGGATCTTTTCAGCGTTCCATTGCTACGTCTCGTAATCAGCACGTCAAGGAGTGGAGTAACTGATTCTAATTCCTTCTCAATAGTCAATTGCAACGCTAAGTAATAATTGTTAAACTCGCATAGGATGTCATCCAGATCGATAGTTGAGTTACAAATAGCGAACATATCATCCATATATCACTATTTATTGACATACTTGTTATACTCCGTTGTTCTATTGGATCGAATTGTTCGACCTCTGTTGGTATATGGGCTCCTATGCGGATGCCTCGATATTGCCTGAATGTTAATTATGATAATTTGGTTGGTTGTGGCTACCAGAAGAATCCAGGACGCGCGTTTCCTCCCATTTGGGACTCGTCAGCTGGATGTACCTGCGCCCCAGTGATGTTCCCATTGAGACTCGAACCTCGTACTCATCGCTTCAAACGCCAAGGCGTTATCCACTATGCTGCGGAGGAACGATAGCCACTTCTTGTACAACGGGTAACAGTTATTACTATTTATTGACATACTTGTTATTCTCCGTTGTTTGTTGTGTTGGATCGACCTCTATTGGCATATGGGTTCCTATGCAGATGCCTCGATATTGCCTGAATGTTAATTATGATAATTTGGTTGGTTGCAGCTAGCAGAAGAAGTGGTTATCGTTCCTCTGTGGCATAGTGGATAACGCCTTGGTGTTTGAAGCGATGGGTACAAGACTCGAGTCTCAGTGGGAACAACATCACTGACCGGAGTGCAGGTATATCCAGCTGACGAGTCCCAAATCGGACGAAACGTGCGTCCTGGATTCTTCTGCTAACCACAACCAATCAGATTATCATCTGTACATCGTGTGTATGTGTGTGAATCGATAAAATCATATAAGTAACAAATAGTTTCAGTGAGTGCAATTAAGGTTTCAATGGTGAGATATACCGGCAGAATGATGGGATCTCCATCTTCCTAGTTTTCAGTCTCACCTACTCACTCCCTCCCATTTTATTTTCACCTTTTTATTTTAACACTAATTTGCTACTCATTGTTATTGCTATGATCTATCTAATCACAATTCACTTTCCAATTATGTCATTATCATATTACAAAACTTCTTTTCAGTAATATTCCCTACTTATCACAGTTTTTTGATAGTTCACATGATTAATACTAATTTTGTTGCCATGATCATGCTTGACAAACTGTTTCTATGAGATGAATGGGGTTTTTTTCAATTTAGAAGTAGTATTCATCATGAACTGATATCATTTGGGGAACCATTGAAAATTTGGGAGTACTGGACAGCTATTTCGTCCTAGTATGGGACTCCTCAGTAGTACGCACTCATGACCCGGTTAGGAATGGAACTCAAGACCTTCAGGTTTCACAGTGAACGCGTTTAACCATCCAGCTATTGGGTCGGTTTTCAGTGGTTCACAATTTTCAACTTCTGTCAATTCATGATATAGCGCTACTATACACAAGGTTTTCAGTTAGCATCCACTTCATTTACGACTGGTTGACCCTCAACTGATATCAGTCCATGATGAATACTACCTCTAAACTGCTTTCAACTATTAAATCCTTACACTAGAAAAGAACATGTATAGATTTGGGATTGTAAAGCTTTAAGAATGAAATCACCGAAGAAAAGGCTCTTCTCTGAAATATACTTCTTCTTTCCTTGTTGTTTACTTAACCATTTCCTATTGCTTTATGTTTTCGTAATATTGTTACCAGGTTTATGTTCTAATAATAATGACAGTACGGTAATCTGAATTGATCATCATTGTCCATATCTTCTTTGTTGACACTTTTTTTTTAGTGAAGGTGCTTGTAATCGTCTACATTCTTTAAATCATCGTATCCAAGTCCATTTCAATTATCTCGTCATCATAGTAAACATCAAAGTCAATTATCACATCGTAATCAACATCAGCATCATTTGACTGCAGTAAGTAGTAGTAGTAATGGTCAATCACAACCACCAACTAATAATAATGATACTATACAATGTATATCACCTAAATCATCATATCCAATTCCTTTTCATGGTTTCAAGATGAATCCATTTTGTAAAAGTCCAACTAGTCATGGAGGTGGAGGTGGTCATATGAATTATCCGATAAGAAATGTTTCTATGAATACACCAATAACAGGTGGTTTAATCAACCAAACTATCACTACTACTACTGGTACTGGTACTACTACTACTACTACAAATAATAATCATAGTAACATTCAAACAATTGGAGAGAGAATTATTCAACAATCAACAGACTATATGACAAATAATAAGTCACAAAAACATCAGCGTCGTCTAACTAAACGTGGTACCAGTTCTCGTCTATATGTTGCTGCTACTGGTGGTGGTACACAATCTAGCAATCCTTTAAAATCTAGTAAATCGAATAGTCGATCCTACAGTATGGCTGAACATGATCCAAAAGGATTTGCACAAATTTTATCGGATAAATTACAACGTCTATTAGAAAATCAATTGGTTACAGAACGTCTTGACAATCTTATGATTGAGGTATGTAAAATGAAATACTAAGTGTTTTTGATGTAAAATTATTAGTTCCAAGTTGTACCAGGTTATATTGTGTTATCTGAGCTGGATTGTTTAATCATGGAGCTTTTATCGTCTTTCTAGACGACAGTTACCGATGAAATCTCTGCACGGATACAAAAGGCTCGATTGGCTTTTGCCAATTTGCTCCACCTATGACGCCGCTGCGATATTCGATTGTCTACTAAGGGTCGTGTGTACTCTACAGTAGTTCGCTCTCTTCTACTATGTGGCTGTGAAACATGGCCATTGAAGGTGGAAGACATGAGAAGGCTTTATATGTTTAACCATCGTTGCCTTTGTAGTATAGACCGTATTCCGTGGTGTCACCACGTGAGTAACACAGACGTCAGGTGTAGAGTTTCAGGGAGTTGAGGTAAATCAGTTGACGAGGTTATGAACCTTCATCGATTGAAATGGCTGGGACACCTATTACATGTGTCTAGTTGCCGTCTGCGTCGTCACATAATGTCGGCCGAAGTAGGTTGAGCCTGGAAAGAGGCCTGAGGTGGCTAGACTAAAACATGGCATCAATGTATGCAGTGTTTGACTGTTGGTTTGAGTCATGTGAGGCGATGCAGACTTGGTGGTTGGGGTCAGTCCGCAGGACAAGGGGAACCAGTGGTGGAGACTTTAGGTGATGGTATGCTTGAGAACCGATGTCAGTTTGGGGGCGGGGGGGGGGGCGGGTGAAGGGGCAGATGTATACACACATTATCCTCATGTTAAGGACGTTATATCAAATCTCACCATTTTCTCATTCTTCCTTTCTCTCTTCTATGACTTTAAATTTCTTTTGACTGAATTTTCTTGTCTTCATTTGCGCCTGATTGCCTTTCTACTTGATGTAGTGATATGAAGTGTGGTGAGAAGTTGGACTGTTACGCAGTAATGCCTGGCCCTATGTTGATATTGATGATGATGAGACGACATCTTCAGCACTAACGTCAGTATGAAGTGAGCTGTCAATATCTCTCCGTCAGTGATTTATCAGCTTTCCCTGACAAATTGGTTTGTCATTGGTTCTCTCCTTTGATTGTTATGTCATTGACAGACTGTATAGATTTTCCTGTTGGCTATTCCTCTGCTTCACCTCTCACCTTCCTGTCGGTTATCACTTTTCTCATTGGTCGATAGATTGGGTGTGTATGCTTGTACACTACGTGGGATAAAGTGTTCGCCATCTTCTCCTTCATTGACATGAACACCAATTGGGCACTAAAGGTCACGTAAGACATTTCATCAGTCATTTCAATGCACGTGGATGCCAACTATGGACATGAATTCAATGTTAGCAATGTAGAAATCGTGGACGGAGAGAGGAAACACAAAGAATATCAGAGAATTCCTAGAAGCTTGTCATTCAGGTCAGTCAGTCAGCAATCAATAGATGTATACACATAAACCCAATCTATCATCTAGTGAGAAAAGTGATAACCGACAGGAAGGTCAGAGGTCAAACGGAGGAAAATCTATGCAATGAGTCAATGATACAATAATGAAAGGAAGCAATTAATCACAAACCAGTTGGTCAGACTAAGCTACTAAGTCACTGATAGGGAGATATTGACAGCTCACTTCACAGTGAAGTTAATGTTGATGTTGCTGTCTAGAAAGAGAATGAAAACTTCACTATTAAACAACCCAGCTGAGAGAATACAACACAAACGAGCTACAAATATTCTCCACTATATGGGTGTTTGAATTGCATTTCATCAGTACTAACTGACTGAACTCTTCGGATTTCATTGTAATGAACTGATTCTTTTCAAAAGATGAGGGGGGGGGGTTCAGTTACAGAGTAACATCAACCTAAGAACCATTGGAAACTTGAAATCACTCAACAGCTGGAACTTTAAAAGTCCGGACACCTGTGAAGATTGGTTCCCAGAACCATTGAGTTTTGAAGTCAGTTTTAATTACCATAAGTGTCAAATCTAACTAGTTTTGTTATGGACTAGAGGCATTTCCAACAAACTATATATATTCATCAACAACTGCCGCCTACACCGGTTCGTTACTGAAGACCAGATGGTCAGAAAGAATAGGCGACAAGGAACTCACTCTGGGAACGAACTAACCAAGAACCCATCGCTCAACAAATATGCAGTGGAAGAAAGTGGAGATGGATTGGCATACATTAAGAAGACGGATAGGGGACATCACGCCCCAGTCCAGGCACTCGAGTGGAACCCACATGGGAAGCGACGAGTTGGGCGTCTGAGTTGAGGGTGACATGGAGGAGATCGTGCGAGGAAGAAATGAGAGGTTGTGGGCTGTCGTGGAGCCAGGTTGAAAAGATTGCAGAGAAGAAAGTGTAATAGAGGCATGCTACTGAAGCTATATGTTCCTCTAGGAACCCAAGGGACAAATAATAATAATAATAATAATAATAATAATAATAATAATAATAATAATAATAATAATAATAATAGAGGTTATTAACTTGAACAAGCAGATTACAAAGTTTGAGGTACAGTTAATGCTTCATTGTATAAGATTTTCTGTGGATAAATTATTGAAAATCATATCCATTGACAAGTCAACAAAGAGTAATTTATGAAGGCTTCTTTTCTAAGGTATAAATCATGTCTGGATAGTGTGGTGGATGGATAGTGTGACTAGGAGTGAAATCCAGCTAGACCTGAGTTTCGCCCTATCTGAGACTCGTCAGCCGAATGTGCCTGTTATGTTATTTTTCACGTTAAAATTAGTTAACAATTGGATTTACAATACACTGTTCTATTACACTGTAATGTGTTGATATACATTTATTGGTTTTTTTTATTATATAATACAGAACAGTCCGAATATTCAAGAGAGTCAAGAATATACAGATAGTGTTAGTGATACTCTCGGTGGTAATATTAATAAGTTAAGAGAAGAAGGAGGAGAAGTTGTTGATAGTGATGAGTTAGTTACAAGTGAAAAATATTGTATTACAAATCCTTGTACAACAGTTAACAATTTAACAGTTTCTATGGTAAATACTACTGTCACAAATGCTTCTATTACTACTACTACTACTACTACTACTACTACTACTACCAGTCGACTTGTTGGTGTTGGTTCAGCAGCTCCTTCAGTACTTCAACGTCCATGGGCTGATAAATTACTGGCTGCTGCACGTGTTCAACATGAGAATACACGAGAAAATGCTCAGGTAAAACTTATAATAATCATGATAATATGCTTGTTAATGTGCCTGTTGAAACAGTGAGCAAAAGTATCTTGTATTTATCTTATTATTCAGGGATTGGAATCCTTTCAGTAACCACACATACGTTTCCTATAGAAGGCAATGAGCTATATCCTTAGTGGGAGGACTAGTTATACTACGTGGCTGCTTAGACTTTGCTAGGTGGAGCAGGTCTCGAACTCATAACCCCATAGACTACCAATGTACCACATATGGGCAAGAGATGCCCCAAATTTGTTTCCTCTTGCAATTTATGATCAGTTAACATTGATCCAATTAATATAGCTGACATCATCAATTATAGAACCACAAGTAATGAAGGTGTGTTAAACACCCGACTGCATATTTGTTAGGCAATATATTGTTGATTGGTTGGTTCGTTGCCAGGCCACAGTTCCTTGTTGTTTATCCTTATTTTTCTGGTCATATGATTTTGAGTATGAAATAAGCGTAGGTGGTAGTTGTTTGTTCGAAATGCTTTTCGTAACTCCTCCAAGTCTCAACCATCACATAGAATTACTGACTGACTTGTTCTTTATGTTGAGTGGAGCGGAGTGGAGTAGATCTGCACACTGATTTCAGATTGATGAAGGCCTTTCTTACTTTTCCGATCGTGTGCCTGTGCAGCTTGTAGTTGAAACGATGCTGCCTGCCTAGGTGGAAGAGACAACTTCGTTTAGATTTCTCCTGTACATGGTGATTGGTACTTGTTGCTGTTGGTATTGTTTGTTGGGTATTTTCATCACCTTTGTCTTCTCTACGTTCACCTGAAGTCCTGTCTTCCTTCGCTGCCTCATCTCTTTGTCAACTTGTTAGTTTTCGCTTGTAGATCTTAGAGTTTGTGCAACATTAGACATAAATCATCATCGGTGAAATCCATATTTTTTTGTGGTGTTTTTTTTTCATCAGTCCACTCAGTGTATGCCCCTCTTCTCGCTCCTCACAGTTTGTTGTATCATCCAGTTCAGTCGACGACAATCAGGAAAATCATTGGTGATAATAGGTGACAACCTTGTCTTACTCCTTGTTTCTATCAGTACACGATGAAATATGTTGTATATTTTTCAAAGGAATAGAAAATATGCCTATGTGAAATGGAATAGGCAAAAACAATCAAGCAACTACATGCGCTTTCATACATTAGGTAGTAAGATATACTCATTGTATACTGAAGGTTGATGATATCATCTAACCATTCCACATTGGTTATCTGTAAATTGATCTACTAAACGTGTTTCCTTAATACAGTCTATCTTTGAGTAAGATTCATGTGATGAGTATGTCTTAATATATGTGTATGTATGCATGTATGTGTGTGTTTACCTTTGTCTAGGCTATTCTTGAGGATCACTGTTCTCGAATATGGGCTGATCGTACAGCTGATCGTACACCTAGTAGTGGTGGAGGTAGTGGAAGTGGTGATGGTGGAGTTACAATTGATCTAAATAATATATGCTCATCAAGCAGACTACAAGATTCTACACATGACAATCAACTTCGAAGAAATTTATGTTCTGATAGGAGCGATCATTCATTTATGTCTCCTGTTGAAGGATATAAATATGAATCTTATCATCATTCGATTACCCCTTTAGTTCCACCTCAATCTCTGGTGTATACTAGTAGATCATGTGGCGGTGGCGGCAGCGGCAGCGGTGATGGTGGTGGTAGTAATTGGTCACATTCATCTGGTATAGTAAACAATTCAAGTACATTCAATTATATAGAAGATATTTCAGCATCACAACAAACAACACAACATTATGAAGATAAGTCTTTATGTTGTATAAGTGATGTAAAACAAAAGTCTAGTAATTGGACTGATGAACAACAGGTTAAACAACCTATAAATTCTTATAACAAATCTGAAAGGTGAGTGATAACCTCCTAAACTTATTTAATGATGAATGAATATTTGGTCTTTTTCTTACTTAACCTATCGAATGATACTTTGTGTATGAGAGCAGAATGAAGTGGGGGTGAAAATAGTGGACTCTAATTGTATGACATTTAACAACTATACTATTCATAATCTCCACAGTCCATTGGTAATCTTAGTTTACAGTGTTTTTATGCAATAATATGGTATCATTCCATCAATTCTTTGTGTGCTGTTGACGTCAACCTTGGTAGAGACAGGTATATATAGACTTCCAGTTTGGACACTGTATGATAACTGAAATTGATGATGATATAATTGACAATCGATGAACACAAGTGGATCAGTTCAAGTAACACTTTACAGTCACTCTGGATCTGTCTAACATGGCTTAGATCAACAGTTAACGATTTAATGCGGTTGTATCATATCTTCCAGCCTAATCTATCTTCTAACATTGCGATGTCTCCATTCGCGCTAAACATGATCAAGTTACTTCAGTCGCACTGCACTATCCACCTGGATATTTCTCGCAGCTGAGTTGTAGTGTCATGAAAATCTATGCCCTAGTCACCTAGCGAGATTCTGGTGATCTGAACTTATTCACCTCTTTGGCGTGTATCTATCCGAGATCGTCTTCCAATTAGCAAAACCACCGTTCGGTGTTTACATAACTCTGATCTGGCTGGTAAAATACTACAAATTAGCCTGAGTGATATCTAACTACTTAATTTGTCTAGCAGTAGCATCTTTCGCTAGTTCATGACACTTTTGTATTTGAGATCATACCTTTAGATATTGGCAGTGGAAATCTTGTTGACACCACAGTTCGATGTGAGTTGCAAAATGAGTCAACTTTGAGGAATGTTATTATGGATCGTTTGATTTGTAAATCATTTGCAAATTGATCATCTAATTCGATTTATAGTCTCGCCCGCGACTTACAAAACCAACTTCATACACAAGTGGATAGGTTTAAGCTGCTATACTTCATAGAAGTGCACAAAAAACAGGTGGACAGAAAAATAGTGATATCAAAATCGACAAAGGTTGGCGCGAATACTCAACATCTAGAAGACGTCATGGAGTAAATTCATCTGTAGCATTTTGACCGATTTTGTTTTAGCCATATTACCAAGAATTCTCAACCAACTCGATGACGCCAGGCACGTAGTCTTCATTTCCATATACCGTTCACTTCAACCGGAAGAGATTTTATCGATTGTTGACAGGTTTTGGTCTGGTCACCCTAAGCCTTCATTTAAGTTCCAATAGCGTTGGACGTCGAGGTAGGCAGTGACTAGGCATATGCAACACATGTCCAAGCCACCTTAGGCGATAAAGGTTCACAACCTGATGAGTCAACTTGTCTGTCTTGTTCAATATCTTTCACCAGACCTTGATACTATTTGCGTACTGTTTTCACCAAACGTGAGCTGTTCTACGAGGATATGTGTGATTAAAACCCTGCAACAGTTCCATATCTTGTACTCTTAAAGACTATGTTTACATGAATGGTATACATCGTTGTTAGACGATAGTATCTGATAGGCCGGGTACTACGTGAAGTTAGCTAGTTGATTCATCTAGGTTTTTCCTATTCAATTGCTATGAATTCAGCACTCTTTAAAAGTGAACTACCTATAACTATCTAGTTTCTCAGTAAGTTTTCCCCCACTTAACTTTTATATCAGAGAGTTTGTAGAAGATCGTGTAACAATTATGTACACTCTATTTACTAAATGATGATGTTTCAAAGCGGTTTGATGTTTCACTCTTTATGTAATCTTCATATCTGAAGATTGATTGATTTAGCCGTCCAACTGGGTATCAGTTGATATAAATCTAAAATATTCGCTAGTCGATGTTTTGCTCTTGTAACTTACGTTTTCCTAATGGAACATAGGGCTTCTGTAGTACGTCTCCATTGCACTGTGTTCTCTGCAGTCTTTTCAACCTGGCTCCATCACTGCACACAAGCTTTCATTTCTTCCTTCCACGATCTCCTCCATGTCACTCTCACCTGGGAGGCCCAACCTATCGTTTCCCATTTGGCTTTCACTCGACTACCTGGCCTGACCTGATGTGGCGCGTGATGTCCCCAAATAATCTTCTCAGTGTATATCCAATCCAATCCATCTCCACTTTCTTCTGCATGTTTGTTGGGCGATGGGTTCTTGGTTGGTTTGTTCCCAGAGTTCCTTGTTGCTCATTCTTTCTGACCATCTGGTCTTGAGTATTCAGTGAGTGTAGGTGGCAGTTGTTGATGAATGTCTGTCAATAAAACCGTGAACAAACTCTTCAAAGCAGAAGAAATAACAAAGCAAGACAAATGGCGTATGAAATCGAATGGACCTGTCCTTCCTCAATTCTACGGCAGACCAAAACTACACAAACCCGATATCTTTCTATGACCAATAGTCTCACTTCCGGGAACTCCAACATACAACACATCAAGAGAACATTCGAGAAAACTGAAACCCGTCGTCCAATCATGCGGACATTCCATCAAATCACCAATGGAATTCTTAGAAGAGATCAAAAGTATTAACATAGAAAACGACGAATTAATGATATCCTTCGATGTCACAGCACTATACACATCTAGCGAACCTCAATCGGCCAAGGAAACGATATCCCTCCTCATAAATGAAGACAAAAACCTTTCAGAACGCACAAAACTTAAATGTTCAAGTCTAATGGAACTCATCGACCTTTGTCTGACAACATACTTGCAATTCAACGGCAAGATATACAAACAGATGAAAGGAACTCCAATAGGATCACCGATATCGGATTAATTGCAGAAGGAGTAATGCAGAGACTAGAAGCCATCATCCAACCTATAATCAAACCAAAATTCTGGATTCACTATGTGGACGACACTTTTGTCATTCTTAAAAAAAACGACTTAGGAAACACTCACGGTGTGATCAACAACGTTTTCAGTGACATCAAATTCACAATGGAGAAGGAGTCTAACAACCAACTACCATTCCTGGATGTTTTAGTCAATAGGACAAATGCCGGAAAGCTGGAAACTCAAGTATACACAAAGCCAACACACAATCATCAAATCCTCAACTACAATAACAACAACCCAACAATACACAGAACCAGTTGCATGCAGACTCTATTCAAAAGAGCAAGAACACACTGCAGTACAACAACTTCATGGAGAAACGAAGAAAACTACCTAATGTCCATCCTAAATAAGAATGGCTACCCATGGAACTTTATCACAGGATGACTATCCCATTCATCATCAACTACTAAGTCACTGACAGAAATCAACAAACACATCATCCTACCATACATAAAGAATATATCAGAAATCACAACAAGATTACTGAGACCACTTGATGGAATTGGTGTGGCTTATAAACCAACAAATTCCCTTCAAACACTATTATGCAGACCAAATCAAATTGCAATAACTAACTGTAGTCAACACCACATTAGACAAAGTGATCACCCTATTCACCTTCGTCTACATGAACGCCAATTGGCTATTAAACGGCATGACATTTCATCATTCATTTCAATGCACGTGGATTACAATTATGGACGTAAATTGAATTGACAATGTAGAAATCATGGATGGAGAAAGGGAACACGAAGAATATCAGAGGATTCCTAGAAGCTTGGCATTCAGATCAGTCAGTTAGCAATCAACAGATATATAGACATAGACCCAATCTATTAACCAATAGGAAAAATGATAAACGACAGAAAGGTCAGAGGTCAAGCGGAGGAATAGCCAACAGGAAAGTCTTTACAATCAATGACACAACAATCGAAGGGAACAACCAATCACAGACCATATCGTCAGAGCAAGCTAATTAATCACTCACGGGGAGATAATGACAGGTCACTTTATACTGAGGTTAATGCTGATGATGTCGTCTAGCAGGGCGATGAGAACTTCTCCACGATTAAACAACGCAGCTAGCTCAGAGAGCACAATATAATCAAGGAAATTGTTCTCGTAACACGCCAAGTCTCTCAACCATATATTATAGAAGCACTGACTTGACTGACGTCAGTGTTGAATATCCGGATGTTGTTCACGCTTTTTTGCTGAGTGGAGTGTAGTAGATCTGTACACTGATTTCAGGTTAATAAAGGTCTGTCTTGGTGTGTTTTTGATCGTGTCTTCGACATCCTCATCTGTGCCGTCTGTAGTTGAAACACGCTTATTAGTAGTATATGTTACATAATCAACCATCTTTCAAGTACTAATTAACCTGGCATATTAGCATGTACCACTAAGCAAGTGAACTACTTCGTGAAGTTATCATAAGTTGGCTAAGTTTCTATGAGAACTTTTTGACTTTCTACTCTGTGATGAATATAGGGAAATTCACAGACAGAAAGATAAAATCAACGTAGAATCTCGCACAGAAGTGCATCATTTCAAGTCGTTACACTTCACAGAAGTACACAAAGAGTAGATGGATAAAAGAGTAGTTCTACTATACTACATAAAGTAGTGTGAAAGAATGAACAATCTGACGATGATAGTAAGTAACAAATCTTTAAATTGTGAAAGATGTCATTTTGACTGACTTTCATCAATATCATTATGGGCTCTTAACCACTGATTTCTTTCATTTCGTAGACTACAGGCCACCTAGAATTCTTTTTTGCAATCTAATTGAGATTCTTCCCCCCTCAAAGTAGGTGGTATGTTTGCTTAAGCCACCATCTCAGTAAACTGAAGTTCACAATCTTATCAATGGAATCGTTTAAATTCTACGTTTAGTGACAACTGTTTCATATCTACGTATACCTACTCAAGTTCGAACCCAAGAGATTTTCAGGTGAACTGATTTACTTCACTCTTCTTATTTCGTAGTCGAGTGGTATAGAGACTTCGTTGATAGAGTAGTAGTCCAAACCGATAAAATGTCACATTTATTATTATTATTATTATTATTAAGTATACCACAGAATTTTTATCAGATGTTATGTTATTGTGTTGGACAGTCTGTCGTAACACACACACACACACACACACACACACACACACCTGGTTATATTGATTTCTCCGGTCTCCTAACCACTTGTCATAATCTCTATTGCTGTAGTACATATTTTCTGTCACATTATCATCGTCATCATCACTATTGTTATGGTGATCTCTGAAATTATGTTTCATTCCTATGTTGTTGTTGTTATTATTGTTGTCATCATCTTTTTCCTATCCACCTTATGTGATGGATTATGTTTTATTCTATGATTTATGAGAAATAAATTCATTGTACATATTTTTCTCCGAGTGGTATTATATCTCTCTACCTTCTTGTTGCATATAGCGAAGCAGCAGGAGCAGTAACTGTAGTACCTACTTATTATTCGTGTTCTGATATCAAGCATTCATCATCACGACTGCAGTACATTAATTCTCCTCCCTGTATGTGTGTGTGTGTGTGTGTATTGATGTGCTTCTGGGCACTGTGCTTCAATCCCTTTCAGACATTGTTATAATATGTATTGGATTAAGTGTGTGTGTGTGGGGGGAGGACAGGGAAGCACAAATTCATCTTAGCCTATACACATACAAATATTTGTATCTACACTGTGGTTTTGTTTTTTTCCAAACGATATGATTGAATGTAGAGGTGTATTTGGCTTTGGCTTCATTTTTGCTTAGCCTTGCTTCCTCGTCGCCTACCCCCTCTCACCCTTTCTCTATCTTGTTTACATATTTTTCTCTTGTGACCAAGGCACATCATGATTGATGATAGTTGTTATCGTCCAGTAGCTGTCGCTAGTTCGTTGAAGGTTATATACTGTGAGATGTATATGTAGTCTACTACACTTTAGTGGAGTATAAAGGGCTCCAGACACACACATACATACAAACATAGAGATTGAATTATGGTACAACTACCTTTACTATCTTGTTCATCTTCACTGTATCTTAGACGACGCTTGTGTGTGTGTGTATGTATGCTAGCGTGTATGGTTGCGTGATTACTGTTTGATTTATGTCAATATCTCCCACCTGTACTAATAACTTTAGAACTAATCAGAAAGATTATACCTTATTGAGAGGTAAGGTTGGCCGGTGGTCGACAACTGTAGACTAACTATCTTCTTGTACGAATGAAGTTTTATTAGTATGTCAGCAGTTGAATTCTTTCCAGAGTAATTTTAAAGGCGTATAGGAATAGTGTAGTATATATACCAATGAAACTATTTGAGCTGTGGCTTGATAAAATCCCTCGACGATTGTAGTGGGATTGAATTCATGCTGTCACACACACACACACACACACACACACACACACACACAGACGAATAGGCTACAACTGAGCTTAGTAACCAATTCGAGCATTGTTAAACTGAAGGTAGGCAACCCAAGAATACTTCAGAGCATTTCTCATGTATATGTTGATCAGTAAGTCCTGTTTCTCAAGTTATAAGCATAGCAATCTCAGCAACTCACGTCAGTTGATTGATAAGAAATTGATTTAATTGACTGGATCGTAAGTTATGGCATCATGAGTTATTGCCTCCCGCCATCTTAATTGACAAGTTGATGACAACTAGTGGTGCCCGCCAGAGATAACCACTATCACCTATTCTGTTCAACTTCGTTGTAGATGTATTATTGGAGATAACTTAATGTACGTTTGACATCACAGAGATTAATCTACTCTCTAGAAGTCGTCTGGTTGACGATATTGTCCTGCTAGATGAAGATGTTGACTGAATGCAGGGTTTTCCAAACGTGTTGAACAGGAAGTTGAGTATGTTTAACTGGTATACGTTTCGCACCTCCAACTACTGTCAGTATTGGTGATGGGAAACGAATTGGTTAGATATATCGACCACTTCATCTATCTTAGGAATTGCGTCAGTTGATTGGTGATGAAACCTTAGCTTGGATACAAGAGGCCCATTTCTCATTTGCCAACTTGCATCATTTTTGGCGCCTACTGGTGAGATATCCGAATATCTATCTAACTGCGCTCCAATTCGTTCTATCCTGTTATACGGCTGTGAGACATGACCGTTAAAAGTACATGTCATGAAACGGTGACAGGGTTTTGGTCACAGATATCTTCATAGCATTGCTTGCGTTTGATGGAATCATCATGTGAGCAATAGTGAGAGGTCAGGGGAAGGGCACTAAGCAAGATAAGCAAGTTGATTGATGAATTAGAGGAGATTTCAAAGACTGAAAACTAAGACGATAAAAGGAGAAAGGGTTGAACAGTCTTCTTTTGTGTATACAATTCAGGTTTCTCTATCCATGGATGGTAAGAGTTTCAGTCCTTGTCATTTTATTACAACTAACAATTGGGTTGTAACCCCTAATGGGTTTCAGGGTTCAGACACCGCTCCCCTACTAGGGTTTTTAGTTGTAACTTTTATATAAAGTGGTGTGGTTCTGAGACTCATCTACAGGTACGTGTGTGTGTGTGAATTTGTAGTTTCTCTGAAGTCAATTAAGTAATTATATTATCATTTTGATCATTTGAGAAAGCCATGGTTTAGCAGACTAGTATTGATAATGGCTGATGACTGAAAATAAAGTTAAAATCTGAACCGCGGCCGGATTCGAACCAGCTGCCATCTGGTTTCCAAATTTTCATTCCACCTTTAGTTGTCACCTAATATCAATAGTAATCTGCCAAACCACGGCTATTTCACTCAGATAGTCGAAGTGATAATCAATGTGATGCTCCTAACTTCCTCGCTAATTCACTTATATTTCGATTGGAATGAGAAGTCCTGACTAGGCAATCAGTGTGAGTACCATCAAGCGGTAGTTACGCATCACGAATTCACATCGTAGTCGCGGAAATGTTCTTATTGATTGATGAAGTGAGGTAAAAATCTGGTAAGCAGTTGGACATCTTAGCTCTCAGTTGGTAGAACATCGGATTGGTAGCCCAGTGGTCTCTGGTTCGAATCCGGCCGCAGTCCAAATTTTCATTTCACCTTCAATCATCACCCAGTATCGATAAATTATTGCGACTCATAACTGCTGTCTTGACGTGGTGGTAGGAATTTACATATCACAATGACCTAACAAGCCATACTATTACAACACTTCTTCCCTAGAGATCATACCATACCAGAAAGCTTAGTTGTTGGATAGTGGTTAGACAAAAACCAATTACTATCATAGTCTATATTGCATCACTATGATGCGAGTTTGTGCGCAAAGTCGTACTGCTAACTGACTGGCTGAGGTTTGACAGCAGTAAGGTGTTTCGTTTGGATAACCAGCAGTCCTACGCTGATGCTGCTTTCCTTTTGTGATGGACTAGAGGGGAGTCAGAAAAGGTTGGCCTCCAAAATACCATACCTCTAGCATTCCGCGGCATGCTAATGCTTGGGAAAGAGATTCATAGTCGGATTTCAAAACGAAAAACCAAAATCTCAAACTTTAAATGAGGCTATATATGGCTGACCTCAAGCAGATGTCTCTTGATCTGTGCGGTCACATACCTAACCCTTTTTTTTCAGGTGCCTCAAGAAAAACTAACCTTTCACAATGTGACCAGCCTAGAAGTAAGTGTCAACTGCACACACGCTTCCAGACTATTTGGTGGGGAGAGTAAATTACAAGAACAATATGCGTGATTATAAGTACAATACTGAGCTTTATAGTTTGACTTGATGCATAATAAATCCATGACATAACATTTTGAATTCTTTCCAATTTATTTTAGTATTATTGAGTCATCTGCAACGAAATCATTACCGGTTGTCCCGCCTTGGTTTGCAGCATTCCCTGAGTCTAGTTATTCGTCACATAAAAAATCTGATGATAATATCCAATCAATAACACATTGTATGGAACATGTAGTTGATTCCTATGGTGATGGTGGCGGTGGTGATGATCATCGAACAGATAACAGTCCACCTGTCTCCTCTCATGAAGAAAATCATAGTTCTGCTCCAACGAATACAACTTCGCAATCAACTCATTCTTCATCAACTTCTGCTGTTTCTGGTACATCAAACTCTACACCAGGTAGTTCTGGTCTCTGTTCAAATTCACTTGTCATTGGTTATTATATGGGTGATGATCCTGTACCGTATCGAAGTTTATGGCCATCATCAGAAATCACTCTTGGTCAGTTTAAACAGTTAATACCGAAAAAGAAAGGTTTATTTAGGTAAGTTATAATTATTTAGAAATTTTGAGAAATATTCAATTCGGTCATCATATATATGTAGTAAGAAGTATAATCCTGGTATACTTCTAAATTTCAAGCAACGTCTCTGCGAGATCATTAAGAATTGGTATCCGTATGGTTTGAGCAGTTGATTTTCAAGGGTTGAAACAATCTCTCCCCAACCAGTTTACTGATGTTTGTGGTAGTCTCAATAGCCTGAAAAACACACACACACACACACGGAGACATAGATACACGAAAGGTGTACTTCATCGCCTTACTGCCTTCCAAGAGTGTCTGCATATAGGAGCATGGAGTGGATTTTCATATTTTTCCTAAATTTTTTCTGTTGGCATAACTTGATTAAGTATCATTGTATTTTTGAGAGCTGCGAAAACATCTGTGTTAGAGCCTATGGTGAGATATTTAAGGAGCTGTGCTTGTTGAGTAGTGTCCGTCAACGCTGCTCACTTTCTCCATTCTTATACAATTTTATCATAGATATTCTTACTCAGGTCTCCCTCTCATAACCTGACTACACGGAGGTCGATCTAATCGCGGGAGAATTTTTGTTAGACCCTAGAATATGCAGATGACATGGTCCTGTTAGGTGAAGACACTGAAAAGATGTGGAGTGTAGTGGACAGTTTGAGTGGGAATTTGTGAATGTTTGGTATGCATTTGTCACCACCCAAATGGAAATTGTTACTCTAGGATTAGTCTTCAACGGTGCTCGACCGTGGCTAACAATGGAGAGTGTAGTGGTTGAGTGTGTCTACCACTTGACTTACCTTGGAAGTAGAATCAGTCCTGTTGGCTGGTTGAGTGACTGATGACATCTGTGCACGGATACAAAAGTCTCCGTTGTCTTTGACCAACTTACGCCACGTATGGTGCCTCTGTGATACTCGATTGTCTATTTAGAGTTGTGTGTAGTGCACAGCAGTCCGGTCTGTTCTAGTGTATGACTGTGAAGTGTGGTCATTGGAGGTGGAATATATGAGGAGGATGGCTTTAAGTGTTTGAGCATGGTTGCCTTCGTAGTATAGGCCGTATTTCGTGGTGTCTCCACGTGAGTAACACAGACATGAGGTGTAGAGTTATAGGGAGTAGATGTAAGTAAATCAGTCGACAAGTTTATGGACCTTCATTGCTTGAGATGGTTGTCTGGGATATGTGTTGTGTATGCCTAGTGGCCGATTGCCTCATCACAGAATGTTGTCTGAAGTATTTTCAGGCAGAGAAAATGGTGTGTGGATTGGTGAAACATGAAGATGTGACGAGTGGATGAAGTCGTTTACTGTTGGTTTTAGTCATGTGAGGCAATGCAGAATGGGTGGTTGGGTCTGTTCGCGGGACAATAGGAAGCAGTGAGGGGTTTCAGATTGACTCTAGGCTGAGAATCGATATCAGTGGGGATGGGTTGGGGGGGGGGTATGTACCTCCACATGCACTATGCTCATGTTAAGGACGCTATACCGAATCTCACTATTTTCTCATTGTTCCTTTCTGTGTTTTCGTACTTTATATTTGTTTTGACTGAATTTTCTTCCGTTCCCCCTTCACTTTACTGCGTTTTTATTTGATATGGTGATATTGAGGTGTGGCAGGAAGTTGGACTGTTACACAGGTAGATTTATGCCTGGTTCCTATGTTGACCTGGATCTATGGCGAAAACAGCTTCAGAGTTCATTCCTTTTATTTAATACTGTCAGATTGTAAAGTTTGGTTATTATTTTTGTTTGAATTGGGGGTGGGTGGGTGAGTGTGTGAATATTTAGAGATATTTTTCAATTTGGTATTCATCATGGACTTAAATCAGTTTGAGGAACGTTAGGAGCATTGGACATCTGTTTCGTCGCTATATTATGCGATTCTTCAGCCGTGCACACTTACAATTCCATGACCAACATATTATCATTAACCTATGCGTTTTAGTTCTTTGTTGCAAAGCGTTAAATACACTTTTATATCATATAGAAAGTCGATTTTGATTCATCAATGTGTCTTTATAGTTTGTTTTTTTTGCCGCAAATAAAGTTTGTAGATTCAGTTCGCTGAGATGTTACTTCATTAGTAAACATACTACTTACTACTTTATGATCATCTTCAGGAAAATAAATACAATTTATAATGAAATATCTTGTTTACATTACAAGAAATTATGTATTGTTAAGTGTTAATGACGATTATTCCCTGCTCTTTTTTTACACCTTAATTCAAGCTTTTTCAATGAAAACAACTCTGAAGGTTATACTAATGTTATTCAATGTATGTTCTACCGAATTTCTTTTCTTCAGTCAATCATTTCTTATATAAATATTTTTTTCGATATCCAATTGCCGAAATCGATTAAATATCACCGATTATAGTAAGAATAGTTTGTAATTCGATGTATATGCATAAAATGGTCTACTCAACAGAATTCTCTATCCCCCCCGTCCTCCTCTCCTTCACCCCAATAAGCTGGTTAATAAGGCTGGATCCATTTTAAGCGTTGATAACTAGCTGTACATAACCATCTGGTTTTATTCAAACTGAGGGAATTTGTGATTCGTTAACCGTTACACAATTAGTAGATAGGTACTGGACCGAAGTGTGTGTGTCGTCACCGAGTATATTTTAACTTTGTTAAACCTATCAGATTAATCTGTGTACTTTGAATAGTATACGAGGTGTCACTGATGTCGTACAATTCTATGTATACTAGACAACAGACTACATTTACTTAGTCAGCGTTAAATAATATGATTCCACATTATTTAATTTTCAGGATGTTTCGTCCTAGTATGAGAGTCATCAGCAGCATGCCCACACAAGAAGTAGTATATATCCCGAGGTTTTAAAATAAGAAGCTGTGACCAGTTGGAATCAACTACTGGGAATTGTAGCAACTATCAAACATTAAAATGTGTTGGACATGAGCTCGACCCCCTCGGGGGGGGCATGCTACTGAAGGGTTCCCATACTAAGACAAAATAGCTGTCCATTGCTACGAGGTTCTCAATGCTTCTCCAATTGATATCAGTTCGTGATGAACACTGCCTTATTGTGTTTTATTCAATGTATTTGTAGTTTTTCCTTTTTTTTATCTCTTGTTCTCTTCCTTATAGATATTTCTTCAAGAAAGCTTCAGATGAATTTGATTCAGGTGTAGTTCATCAAGAGATCACTAATGAAGATACTGTTCTCCCATTATGGGAAGGTAAAATTGTTGCCAAAGTGGAACGAATTGATTAAGATTATGCAGTAAATTTAATTGTATTTGTATACATGCTACTACTACTACTAGTGGTGGTGGTGCTGGTATAGACTAATTATCGTCATCATCATCATCATGACTACCGCCACCGCCGCCATTATCTTCATATGAATAATATTATACTGTTAATTATCTTATCTGTTGGTATCATTTCCTTTCTTCCTATCTCCTCTTGGTATTCTTTATAATCTACAGATGGAGAGTTGAAAGATTTCATTGGATCTCTTCTCTTCTCTTATTCTATCGTCTATGGTTTTCTATTCTGTATACACTCATTCATATCAAGGCATAAATTATTTACTGAACATTCTTAATAAGTTTAATTTTCATCAATATGCCTAGTTGTTTAAAGCGCCGTTGGTTAATCTTTCTTTTTTATTGATTATTCTATATGTGTATCCTTTTTTTATATTCAGTATTGTATTGTGCCTTGTCTGCCATCCATTACCATCTTCATCCTCTATGGGGGTGTATATGGATTGGGTTGCGTGTTATACTACTACTACTACTACAACTCACACTACTACTACTACTACTACTACTACTACTACTACTACCACTACTACTACTACTACCATCACTCACACTACTACTACTACTACTCACAACACTACTACTACTACTACCATTACTCACACTACTACTACTACTACTACTACTGCTACTACTACTACTACTACTACCACTACTACCACCACCACCACTACTACTACTACCATTACTCACACTACTACTACTACTACTCACAACACTACTACTACTACTACCATTACTCACACTACTACTACTACTACTACTACTACTACTACTACCACTACTACCACCACCACCACTACTACTACTACCATTACTCACACTACTACTACTACTACTACTACTACTACTACTACTACCACTACTACCACCACCACCACTACTACTACTACCATTACTCACACTACTACTACTACTACTCACAACACTACTACTACTACTACCATTACTCACACTACTACTACTACTACTACTACTACTACTACTACTACTACCACTACTACCACCACCACCACTACTACTACTACCATTACTCACACTACCACTACTACTACTACTGCTGCTCTCCAATCAACTAGACAGTTAATCATAATCATCGTCAGTAGTCATGGGTTCAACAGGGTATTATTGTTATTATTACTAATAATAATAATAATTTTTCTGATAACTTTTTCATTTCATCTATTGTTGTTGTTACTTATTAAAAATTCTCTTCTTCTTTTCTTTCTTGTACTATGCTGTATTTGCTTGATGGAATGGACGTTCGCTATACGTTCAGTTTCTGCGCCTTTCCAAATTTTCCAATGCGGTTAGTTGAGTTGTGTTTCTGTTTGTTTGTTTCTTTGTGTGTGTGTGTGTGTGTGTGTGACTTTTATCTTTGTTGATTTGTTTCTAGCTTTTTGCTTTTGCTTAATATCCTCTTGAATATTTCATTTTTGATTTAAACCGGTTATGCAGACAGAATAGTAGAGTAATAATAATAGTCATCATCATTACTAGTATTGATAAACTTTGCCTTTATCTCTTGCCATATATATAATCTAGCTATGTTATGTATAAATGTGTACATTATATGTACACAGGCTATGTGGGGGGGGGGGAGGGGAACTCTGATCTCTTAGGCTGTATACCACCACTTTGTCCCCTCCCCCATGCCTCCTTGTTTTTACCACCTTTTGGCAGTTTGTATCCTGTTTTCTAATCAATAAAAATATTCCCTTCGTACATTATTGTTATCATTATTGTTGCTAGTACTAGTAACAGTAGTGCTGTTACAGTGGTACTTCGCATAAGTGACTAGAATCTTTTTGGCGGTCGATAGTGATGTGATCACTCACACCTAAAGCATACTGCCCTCTAATGATCAATCAATGTACATAATCCAGTCCTACAGGAGGTGGATCGTGCGTTGAATAGCTCAGTGGTAACATCGCTGACTAAAATACTGGGTGGCGCCGATTGTCTTCATCCAACTAACATCTTCTACAGTACACATGTACTATGTCATTTGACTATCTGAGATAGCCATAGTTTGGCAGACTAGTATTTATACTGGTGAATGATTGAAGGTGAGATGAAAATCATGACCGTAGCCGGACTCGAACCAGCTACCAATGGGTTATCGAACCGATGCTCTACCAACTGAGCTACGAGGTCCGACTGCTGATCAAACTTATATTTCACTTCATCGATCACCAAGGGGTTTGGCTGATTACCATGTGAATTTGTGACACGTTACTATGGCTTGGTCGTATTCACACTGGCTGTCTAGTCAGGACTTCTCATCCCAATCGAAATCTAGCTGAATCAGAGAGGTTAGGAGCATCATATTGATTATCATCTTGACTATCTGAGTGAAATAGCCGAAGTTTGGCAGACTAGTATTTATACTGGATGATGATTGAAGGTGAGATGAAAGTCTGGACCGCGGCCGGTCACTATAGTTTTGTGACTCAGTATTTACTTATTTCGAACTAACTAATTACGAATCTACACATTTCAGTATTTTCAGTGTGTTTCTTTGATTAAGTATGTATACGTGTGTGTGTATGTATGTATGAATGTTGCATATGTAAAGGATATGCAGACCACCATTTTGTTACATGTTTGTTAATGTTTATTTCTGACTAGTTTATAAATTGAGTCGCAATTTGAGAATGTTTGGGATGCGTTTGTCACCACCCAAATGGAAATTGTTACTCCACAATTGGTCTTCAACAGTGCTCCATCGTGGCTAACAATAGAGAGTGTAGTGATTGAGTGTGTCTACCACTTCACTTACGTGAGAAGTTAGGATCAGCCGTGGTGGCTGGCTCAGTGGCCGATGAAATCTCCGCACAAATACAAAAGGCTCGGCCGGTTTTTGCAGACCTACGCCATTTGTGGCTCTGCTATGATATCTGATTGTCTATTAAGAGTTGCGTGTACTGCACAGCAGTCCGGTCTGTTCTAGTGTATGACTGTGAAGTGTGGTCATTGGAGGTGGAAAACATGAGGAGGGTGGCTTTAAATGTTTGAGCATGGTTGCCTTCGTAGTATAGGCCGTATTTCGTGGTGTCTCCACGTGAGTAACACAGACATGAGGTGTAGAGTTATAGGGAGTAGATGTAAGTAAATCAGTCGACAAGTTTATGGACCTTCATTGCTTGAGATGGTTGTCTGGGATATGTGTTATGTATGCCTAGTGGCCGACTGCCTCGTTACACAATGTTGTCCGAAGTAGGTGCAGGCTGGAAAAAGGCTCGAGACCAGACTTAAACATGGCATCAGTGTATGAAGTGTTTGACTGTTGGTTTGAGCGTTGCAAACTAGCCGGTTGGGGTCCGCAGGAAAAGTGGTTGGAGATATGGCTGAGAACTGATGTCAGTGGGGGTGGGGAGGGGGACAGAAATATACGCACATTATCCTCATGTTAAGGACGTCATACCGAGTCTCACCTTTTTCTCATTGTTCCTTTGTTTCTTTTCCTACTTTGTACTTCTTTTGACTGAATTTTGTTTTCTCCATCTTGCACTTCACTGCCTTTTTACTAGATGTGGTGATGTGAGGTGCGGGGGGAAGTTGGACTGTTACGCAGTAATACCTGGTCGTGTGTTGATATTGATGATGATGATGAGGACTTACAGCAGACCTCTCGTGGAGCATCATCTTATATTCGTCATGTGCCAGCCAAACATACTCAGGTTTCTGCTCATCTCATCCAGAAGACGTCGCATTTTGTTTCATACAAAATGATATAGCAGTACTTAGCAGATAAGTGATAGAGAAAGAGGAAAATGAGACGATGAATGGGTTATTGATATGACTGTTTGAAAGATATATTCAGTGAAGTGGCCTCCACTTTCGCTTCAGTTTTAATTCAAAGAAGGGACCAAAAAAAACTGCAGAATGTTCACCATTGGATTTCATTTTGAGCTGAATTTGGCATTATTTCAGGCTGTGAGTTCCATGATCTTCTGAACCGTACTTTGAGTGTCACGAGGTATGGAAGATATTCAGATTCGTAGTACATTTTTGATACTATCGATAACGCAACTCGGTACGGGTTTGTGTAGTACGCTATCAGTTAACCGCAATCGTATTGTGTTTCAAGACGTATGATTTTACCTGAATGCTGTAGTTTAAGTGGGTAGGATATGATTTGAACTCGATAACTATGGCTTAAGAGTTGAGTACTTAAACCAGCAACCCACATCTTTGAATTACTGAAGTCAGTGTACTGAAGTTTTATTATGATTATTATTTGTCCCTTGGGTTCCTAGTGGAACATAGGGCTTCAGTAGCACGCCTCCAGTGAACTCTGTTCTCTGAAATATTTTGAACTTGGCTCCACTGCTGCCCACAACCTCTCATTTCTTCCTCGCACGATCTCCTCCATGTCACCCTCAACTCGGACGCCCAACTCGTCGCTTCCCATAGGGGTTCCACTTGAGGGCCTGGCCTGACGCGTGATATCCCCAGTCGGCCTTCTCAGTGTATGCCCAATCCACCTGCACTTCCTTCCACTGCATATTTGTCGAGCGATAGGTTCTTGGTTGGTTGGTTGCCCGGCAAGGGTTCCTTGTTGCTTATTCTTTCTGGCAATCTTTCTGATCTTCAGTAACGAGCCGGTGTAGTCGGCAGTTGTTGATGAATGTCTGTAGTTTCAGTGTATTAAAGTGACATCATTCAATAAACGACGATGTCTATCCCTTCAGAAGCATAAGTTGTCTCACCTGTAAATCAACTAGGTGGCATTTCTATCCGATGCTAGTAATCCTAAGATAACAGTAATGCAATACTTGGTGACTTCGGATATCTTTAGCTGGGACAGATAAGGTTTCACATATGTGTAGACGGCTGGATATATGCAGGCTGGTTAACCAGCCTTACCAACTTCAATGTGGTTTAGTACCTGCTTAATCAGTACCTTGCCTAACGTGTAAGTACTGATAATGAAACATAAATCAAAAGGAAGGAGTTATTTAGGAATATGCTCAATAGAGTAATATGCTTTTTCTCAGGCTATTACGGTTGAGCTAGAGACTATGAGGACGTACGATTTAACCAGTGCAAAGAAAGGACATAGTAACGTCGAAACCTGGTGTAATTCAAACTGTTTAAAACACTCTGGGCATTTGGAGGTGAGCTAGAAGTTTATTTATTTAATATTTAGTAAATTTAGTTTAACCTAGTCATTTTGACTCTGATTGTGGTCGACTGGATTATGCAACAAACTGTGAAGAGCGAAAAGACGGGCATACGATGGCTGTACCGAAGAAAAAAGCCTAGAAGATTTGGGTTTCGTCGCCGATTATTCCTGTCTAATGTCTTGTCGCACAAACTTGAAGATCTACTGGCGAAGAAGAGGTCAGGCAGCGAATACGGGACTTCAAGGGAATGTAGAGAAGACAGCATCAACAATATGCACCAATCACCAGTAACGGGAGAAACCTAAAAGAAGTTATCTGTTTCACCTACCTTCCTAGGCAGCATCGTTTGAACTACAGGGGGCGACGGCACAGACGAGGATGTCAAAGCAGCCAGGATCGGAAAAACAGCAAGACAGGCTTTAACTTATCTGAAACTAGTGTGGAAATCTACTGTACTCAGCATAAAGCATGAACAACATCTGGATTTTCAACACTAATGTCAGTGCTTCTATGTGATGGTTGAGAGACTTGGCATGCTACGAAAAACATTTTCAACAAACTACAGACATTCATCATCAACAGGTGGCACTTACGCTCACTCGATACTCAAGATCAGATGGGGACAATAATAAGAACAAGCAAGAAGGAATTCTGGTTGGCTGGTTGGCAACGAACCAACCAACCGAGAACGTATCGCCCAACAAATATGTAGTGGAAGAAAGTGGAGATGGATTTCACATACATTGAGAAGACCAATTGAGGACATCACACACCAGGCCAGCCCCTCGAGTGGAATCGAAATTAGGAAACGACGAGTTGGGCGTAGGAGGGCATCCGAGGCGAGGGTGACATGGTAGAGATGGTGTGAGGAAGAAATGAAAGGTTGTGGAGCGAGGTTGAAAAGACTGGAAAGAAGACAGTGAAATGGAGTCGTGCTACTGAAGTTTTATCTTCCAGCAGAAATTATAATGATAAAATAAATCGCTTAAATCGTTTACAAACTATAAAGGTGGTGGAGATTAACAATTTTATAAGTTTACTCACATTATCATGGTCGTGACAAGCATTAAATTCTGGTAAATCACATTGAAATGAAAATTGTCTAGATTTTTCTTTTCAATGGAGTAAGTGGTAATTAAGTGTTCTCAGTCGGTGTTTATATGCATAAAATGACAAGTTAGCGTGCTAGAAAAAATGTTTAATAGTGTACCGAAATTATGACAATTCGCTTTATTCAACTGATATATACGTATTAATAAGTTGAGTTGATGAAGAGAATTTTGTCTGTTTGCTTATATCAAATCGATTTTTGAACCTGTCCTGTCAAATAATAGATAATATATTTAGAACTTCATGCTTTTACGAATAGGCTAATAATAGTAGTATATTCTACTCATAAATATATATTATTATTATTCGTCCCTTGGGTTTCTAGTGGAACATAGGAATTCAGTAACACGTCTCCATTTTCATTGTTTTCTCTGAAGTCTTTTCAACCTGGCTGCACCACTATCTACAACCTTTCATTTCTTCCTCACATGATCTCCTCCACATCACCCTCGACTCGGACGCCCAACTCGTCATTTCTCATTTGGATCCTACTCGAGGGCCCGGCCTGGTGCATGATGTCTCTTAATAGCTTTCTCAGTGTATGCCCAATCCATCTCCACTTCCTTCCACTGTATATCTGTTGAGCGATAGGTTCTTGGTTGGTTCGTTCCCAGAGTACCTTGTTGCTTATTCTTATTATTCTGGCCATCTGATCTTCAGCAACGAGCGTAGGCAGCAGCTGTTGATGATGTATGTCTGTAGTTTATTGCAAGTGCTTTTCGTGACACGGTAAGTCTCTGAACCATATAGAAGCACTGACTTGACTGATATTGGTGTTGAAAATCCGGATGTTGTTCACGCTTTGTGCTGAGTGCAGATCTCCACACTGGCTTCAGGTTAATGAACACCTGTATTGCTGTGCTTCCGATCCTGGCCTCGACGTCCTCGTCTGTGCCTGTGCCGGCTGTAGTTCAAACGACGCTGCCTAGATTGATAGATAGGTGAAAGGGGTTACCTCCTTTAAATTTCTCCCGTTGTTGTTGGTGGTGGCATTGGTCGGGTATCATCATCACCTTTATCTTCTCTACATTCACTTGAAGTCCCATCTTCGCTGCCTCGCCTCCTTTGAGAACTTGTTAGTTTTTGCCTGTAGATCTTGGAGTTTATGCGACCTTAGACACAAGTCATCGCCGGAATTCAAATCTTCTAGGATCTTTTCATCGGTCCAGACAGCGTATGCCCGTCTTTTCGCTCCCCACTGTTTGCTGCCTTATCCAGTCCAGTCGATCACAATCAGGAGGATCATCGGTGATAGTAGACAGCCTTGTCTTACTCCTGTCTTCACTTCAATTCAAAGGCATCACTGAGCTTCCCATTGTGAATTACTTTGGCATGTGGCATTTTCATATAGCTGTTGAACGAGGTTGATAAAGGTTTGTGACACTGAAACCGTAGTGTTGAATTAGCTGCCTGGCAAACTACTTCTCGGTCGACGCTGTCGAAAGTCTATTCAAAGTCGATGATGTTGAGGTAGAGAGATGACTGCTATTTTATAGTCTACTTGAAGGATAGGCAAGATATATTCTCCTATTCGAGAGAACTGATGTCAGATTTGATATTGGTTACCCTTCATTGATCAATCAGTGTACTTTCGTATGTCTTCATCAATTCACCTGCTTCTATGTAGCTAGGTTATTCAATGCGAATCTCTGTCAAATGGGTTAATGAATATTAACCCCTCTGGCGGCAAAAGACGTCTAAGTAGACCTATCGGAAGTGTAATAATTGAGAACTTTGCTAACACTGGTCAAATCATTACTGAAAGTCATCTACTTGGTGAGAAATTTGTCGAAACATTTCCGCTCTCTCTGTACTGCAGAAGCTCTTGCCCTATATTTTGTTTGATGATTAATCTTCACCTTACCATCACATTTGTCATCTTTATAATCTTCATTTAACTTGGTGACCAACACTAGGATCCAGGTCGTACATTTCGTCCCATTTTAGACTCAATGAGTGATGATATGCCCCACTGAAAGTAGAACCCACTACTCATTGCTTCAAATACCAAAACGTTATTTACTGGGATGTATGTACATCCAGGTAACGAGTCCTAAATATGACGAAATGCATCAGGATAAATCTGACAGTATCGAAACATGTTCATAGGAGCCCATCTGTAAACAGAAGTTGAGCAATTCGATACTGTTTAGCAACGAGAAACTAAAAGAATCAGATAACAATGACTATAGCTATACAATGTAGTGGGACGAAAATGGATAAAATTGCGAATGCATGACAAGTAGAGAATGGAACCATCGACAGAGATATCTTCGCAGAACTTCTTGTTTCCTTTACTTAAGGTATAAAATCAGAAAGTATCATTGGAATATTTTTTGATATGGTTTTTCTGAAGTAAAATACATATTCTTCTTGACAAACAACATTGTGCTTGTAATAATAAGTAGTATTGTGCAGAAAGGTAAATCTAGAGGCTGGTACGGTTCTTGCAACAACGACTATCAGTCTGCCTACAGAAATGAGTTAGTTTGATAGCCAAATGAATGAAAATCAGTTTTTCTGAGATTGTGTCAACATTCCTCTTGGTTAATTTGCTCAACAAACTGTGAGAAGCGAAAAGAGGGTGATAGAAGATTTAGATTTCGCCGATGACTTGTGTCTAAGGTCGCATAAACTCCAAGATCTATAGGCAAAAACTAACAAGCTGACAGAAAAGGCAGGGTTGCGAAGACGGAACTGCAAGTGAATGTAGAGAAGACAGAGGTGATGAAGATGCCCAACCAACGCTACCACCACCACCAACAAACTCCAATCACCATCAACGGGAGAAACTTAAAGGAAGTAGCCTATTTCACCTATCTAGGCAGCATCGTTTCAACTACAGTCGGCACAGACGAGGACGTCAAAGCCAGGATCGGGAGCACAGCAATACAGGTGTTCATTAACCTGAAGCCAGTGTGGAGATCTGCACTCAGCACAAAGCGTGAACAACATCCGGATTTTCAACACCAATATCAGTCAAGTTAGTGCTTCTATATGGTTAAGAGACTTAGCGTGTTACGAAAAGCGTTTCCTACAAACTGCAGACATTCATCAACAGCTAGGTCCATTGTGAAGCTCAGATAGCGAGAATCATAAGCATAAGTAACAAGAAACTCTGGGAACGAACCAACTAAGGACCTATCACTTTACAAATATGTAGAAGGAAATGGAGATGAATCGGGCATGCAGTGAGAAGACCAGGCATTCGAGTGGAACCCGCGTGGGAAACAACAAGTTGGGCATGCCAGCTCAGGTTGACATGGAGGAGATTGTGTGAAGAAGAAATGAGAGCTTATGAGCTGTCGTGGAGCCAGGTTGAAAAGATTGCAGAGAAGAGAGTGTAATGGAGACGTGCTACTGAAGCCCTGTGTTCCACTAGAAACCCAAGGGGTATATATATATATATATATATGCATGAATGTTCTTTGGGATTGTTTGACGGTATGTAGAGAATCCAGCTGATGAGTACTACTGAAACTTACCACTTCATTAAATTCTGCTTCTTTTCACATTTTTTGCTGGTTTTAAATATGCCTTAGACTTTTGTAAATCGTAATCCACTCACAACAACCTTATTCGCATCTGTCACATCTATTGTCTGACTGTTAGTAATACAACTATCTAGTTGCCGAAACTTTAGTAGATAGAGCGATGCTTGAATCCGTGCGTAACTAATGTACCCACAGTTTAGAAGAAAGAGATTGACATCCCCTCTGTCGACTTCTATTGAATTTATTATATATGTATACAGGGAAGGGAAAAGAAAATAATAAGAAGTGTGTCTATGTAAAAGAAAAGCCAAGACAAACTACGACAATAGTTTGTTTGCAGTTATTTTTCAACAACAGGCAAACAAGTTGTAAAAATAATAATTAATTGACTGGAAGTCGGAAAACACAGAGAACCAGCACCATCATCACCACCACCAGCAACAATAACCATAGTAGTAATAGTAGCTGTGTGGAATATGCTGTGGAGATCTGATGAATGATTATGTAGAAAATATATACGAAATTGTTGGTGATTCCGTAAACTTCTGTGCAAGTAACAGTGAAAAATGAATGAAAATAATCTGAAATGGTATAAATTTGAAAAAAACCCTGACATAATTCATACATTTATTGATTTATAATTATTATCATCATAAGTATTATTATTACTCAATGGAGAAATATCATCCTTCTTCAGTGTAGTTGATCCTCCTGGTACACAAGTGATATTATTTGTCTGAATTGCAAACAAAAGAAAAAAAAATAAGCGGGAAACCAAATAAGCATTAAAAAAAGTATCAATTTAATAGTAGATAGATAGATAGTGTCTAGCTGCTATAACTGGTAATAGAATCTTAAACTCTACGACTGATATGAGCCTAGCAGATTATGAACGTAACATACAAACGAATCGGCTCTAACGCATATCAGTGCCATCGATATGCAAATACAAGAAGCGAAGATAGACCATTGATAGAAAGCTGTTTACAATAGTCAATACAGTTATGACAGTGATGCTTAATAATATACACTTCTAAGTGACCTTGACAATACTAATTCCACACATAGTTAACAACCAATCAGAGTTCAGCCTTGAGAGGAGAGAGACAGAGAAGAAAAACTAGTAACAGTGTGATGAGCAAAACAGTAGGCAAAAAGTATGCAAAATTTAGGGTATAATACCACTAGTAGTGGGGTCCAGCTTTACGCGTGTTTCGTCCTATCTGAGATTTGTCAACCAAGTGTATCTGCCTCGTTAGTAGAGAGTGATTTTGTTCCCACCAGAACTCGAACCAGAGACCTGTTGCTTTAAACATCGAAGCGTTGAAGCACGACAGCTATTACTTGCATTATAAGCAATAAGCTTTAGGTTTTAGGTTCGAGTCTTATCGGGGAAAAATGACTAACTGGAAGGCAGATATATCCAGCTTACAAATCTTGTGTTTTTAAAATTTTTCACTCTTCAGGGATTCATCCGTCAAGGGATTCAATCGTTGCTCAAATACGTCTTTGACTATAAGATTGGGTAATATGTATTCGAATCAAACAGGAGACAATAGGCCTCTTGCTATTGACGACTGCCAACACAAGCACAAAATCTTAGTCATGCAAAGCTTCCTCTCCATCATCTTTATGCATCTCATGAACTTTATAGTTGAATGGAGAAGGTTTTTATTATCTTATAGGATAACATCATTATGACATCTGATTGGTTAGATGGGCACATGAGGCATATATTAACCAATCAGGAGCGATGATTAATCCAGTAATCGTGTAAAATGCTTGGATATGTAACGATGATGAATATTGGACAGAATGGGGATTTTTAATTAAGAGGTAGTATTCATCATGGACTGACATCAGTTGAGGGAACCATTGAAAATCTAGGAGCACTGGACAGCTGTTTCCTCCTAGTATGGGACTCCTCAGCAGTACGCACACACGACCCGGTTAGGGATCGCACTCAGGACCTTCAGGTTTCACGGCGAATACGTTAACCATTCAGCCACTGGGTCGGTTTTCAGTGGTTCACAATTTCCAACTTCTGTCAATTCACGATATAACGCGACTATCAATCCAAGGTCTTCAGTTAGCATCCACTTCACTTCCGACTGGTTAACCCCACAAGTCACGACTTCTCATTAGAACTTCTTGATATCCATCTGGAAGCGAGTTACTAATGAGCACTATATAGTAATGTATTTTTCAGATGAATGGGGATTTTTTTTAAATTTAGAAGTAGTATTCACCATCGACTGACATCAGTTGGAGAACCATTAAAAATCTGGGACATTGGATATCTCTCTAATGTGCTGCCTCATGTTACCTTTAACTGCACCTACCAATTTGTGTGTAAAGTGACAAAGCAAATGGATTGAGAGAAAAAGAGGAAGGATTTTGTTTGTATTTCTGAGTACACACACCCACTCCCTCGAAAAAATTGTAAAATTAAGGGATCAACACTTTCAGTGAACAACGCGATTGTATGTCATTTAATCAATATTGTATACAAGTGATCAATAGGGAAACGAACACTAACCGCTTAGATTTTATGCATAGATCATTTTATCGTATACATTAATTGTTCTGTTTTCAAACTCAATGATATTCAATTTGTACTACGTGATGATCGAAGGTGATATGAAAATCTGAACCGCGGCCGGATTCGAACCAGCGACCACTGGGCTATCGGCCCGGTGCTCTACCAGACGAGCTGTGAGGTCCCACTGCTGACCAGAATTTTATTTCACTTCAATCACCAAGGGTTTTGTCGACTACCATGTGAATTCGTGATGGGATGAGAAGTCCTGACTAGGCAGTAGCCAATGTGAATACGATCAAGCGCTAGTAACACGTCACGGATTCACATGGTAATCAGACAAAACCCTAGGTGATCGATGAAGTGAAATAAAAGTCTAGTCAGCAGTCGAACCTCTTATCTCTCAATTGGTAGAGCATCGGGTCGGTAACCCAATGGTTGCTGGTTCGAATCCGACCTCCAGCCATTCACTAGTACAAATACCAGTCTGCCAAACCATGGCTATCTTATATAGTCAAATCATAATCGATACTCAATTTAAAGGTTTTTGAGAATTTATTTATTAACTTCATCCATCCATCCAGATCAACGTAGGACGACCAGGCATTACTGCATAAAGGTCCAACTTCCCGCCACACCTCATATCAGTACATCAAGTAGAAAAGCAGTGAGGCGCAAGATGAAGATAAGATAATGCAGTTAAAAGAAATATAAAGTACGAAAAGAGAGAAGCGAAGAATGAGGAAGTGGTGAGATTCGGCATAGCGTCGTTCAAATGAGGATAGATAATATGTGTATACATCTGCCCCCAACTGACATCGGTTCGGAGCCATATCCCCTAGAGTCTCCAACCACTGGTTCCTCTTGTCCTGCGGACCCCAACCACCTAGTCTGCATCGCCCGACGTCGCTCAAACCAACAGTCAAACACTTCATACATTGATGCCATGTTTTACTCTGGCCGCCTCAGGCCTTTTTCCAGCCTGGACCTACTTCAGCCAATATTGTGTAACAAGGCAATCGGTGACTAGGCATACGCACCATATGTCGGAGCCAACCATCTCAATCCATGAAGGTTCACAACTGTGTTGACTGACTTACTTCTTCTCTCTAAAACTCTACTTCTGACTTGTGCATTACTCACGTGGTGACACCGCGTAAACTGGTATTGCTTCAATCAAATTGACATCAGTTGAGGAAACATTGAAAACTTGAGAGTATTGAATAGTATGGAAGTCTTCAATAGTATACACTCATAACTCTAACCAAAGATATTAGGTTGTCGGGCGTAGTAGAGAAGAATCTTCCAAATTCTGTGCATCCTTAAAATATACCTAGTTAAACAATTATGACAATAAAAACTTTGTCTTCTTGTATCATCTTGAATTACCAATTCTACTAAGTACTCTACGTGCAAACCTCGACCGATAGCTGCTACCTTGACGTGATGGTCGGGCTTGCATATCACAATGAGCTATGCTGGTGGAACGCCATCGACCATCCAGCCCCAAAAATACAAAAGTTCAAAATAATCATACACAAAAGGCTGAATGTGACAGGCCTCAAGCAGATATCCGATAGGCTCTGCAGTCACAGAAATCTGTTTCAGAAGAAATAACCTTCCACAGTGTAGGCAGCTGGGAAGTATCAATCACCGTCATAACTCTGTCAGCACTCAAGTTTCCTCAGACGGCTATTCACCTTCCTCCTTCATTAACACCTCCTAATCTTCCTTCATAACTCCCAATTAACAATACTACATCATCTTTAATTTCTCCTAGTTCTGCAGGTTTCAATCAGTAAATCGAATCAAATTGGACATGTAAACAGTTATTCAACGATGGTATTACATGAAAGTCACACAATCCTTGGAGGATAAGATTATAGGTGTACACAGTTGATGAGTTAGGACGAAACATTTATTCTGTACTTCAAAGTTTCCAATATTTCATCAACTGATATCAATCTATGATGAATAATAAGTTAAAATCAATAAATAAATCTCTAAATAAATAATCTATAGAAATTGACTATTCAGAAAACTTACACCATCAATAACTTGATTATCTATATGATGATTATTAGAATCGATTTGATTAATCAATAATGATTTCTCATAGATGATATCATTTTCAAGAATAGTATGATTTACTTCTGATGATTGAAACTGTTCACAACATTGTTGATTATTTTCATTTAATTGTTGTCCATAATGATGTAATAATTGTTGATAACTTCTTTCATTTTCAGTAAATTGTCGTTGTTGACATTTTATTATAGATTGAAATTTTAATAAAGCTCGAATAGATGTTATTGGCATAGAATTAAAACAATCTGATGATGATGATCTTCCTTTTCTTCTTTTACTACCTTGTGCATGTTCTTGTAGTAAATGTCTATCAGGACGTATTTCATCTGCTTTAAATATTGGTGATTTTGGGCTATAATTATGTTGACATACAAAATGCCATAATGGTGAATCATTTGGACGTCCATGAGAATTTTGCATATCCTTTGTGACCCCCCCCCCCCCCAAAAAAAAACACAAACACAAACAAAAGGTAAATAAATCATACTGAGAAATTGAAGTAAATTAAATTAAACTTTTAATGAAGAGATAGATGATAGTCATAGATAAAATTAATGTAGAACATTGTAAAGAAGTGGATCCATTCAACTTGTCACACTTCATAGTAGTATACAACGAATAACCGCATAAAAAAAGGCTAATATCAAAGACATTTAGATATTGAAAACATCTACACTATGTCACCATAAATCGTCAATCACATATTCTTATCATTATTATAAGAACCCCAGAAACGTAGTCTATACGCCTTAGTACAAGAGATAGAGACAACATTTTGATCGGGTCACCATAAGCTTTGTTTCAACCAAATTGAACTTTCCCTACAATGGTATATAGATGTATGCAGTGGCTTGGAATGCACAACACAAGTCTACGTCACATTAGTCAATAAAGGTCGATACCCCTCATTATTTGATTTGCTTGTCTTACTTGTCTTACTAGTATCCTTCGTCAATACACGAAGGATGGTGAGAGTCGGATGTGAGACAAAGTATATTATCAATATTTGTTATTTTCAGCTTGGGTTCTTACTGGAACATAGGGCTTCAGTAGCACGCCTCCATTCTACTCTATTCTCTGCAGTCTTTTAAACCTCCCTCCACCATTGCCTACAAGCTTTCATTTCTTCTTCACGTCATCTCCTCTACATCACCCTCACCTGGGACACCCAACTCGTCGTTTCCCCTTTGGATTCCACTCGAGTACTTGGCCTGATGCGTTATGTCCCCAATCGGTCTTCTCAGTGTATGCCCAATCCATCTCCACTTCCTTACACTGCATATTTGTTGGGTGATAGGCTCTTGCTTCGTTCCCAGAGTTCCTTGTTGCTTATTCTTATTAATCTGGCCATCTGATCTTCAGTGTCAGTATCGAGTGAGCGTAGGTGGCACCTGTTGATGATGAATGTCTGTAGGTTGTTGAAAATGCTTTTCGTGACGTGCCAAGTTTCTGAACCATCACACAGAAGCACTGACTTGACATTGGTGTTGAAAATCCGGATGTTGTTCACTCCTTGTGCTGAGTGAAGTAGGTCTCCACACTGACTTCAAATTAATGAAAGCCTGTCTTGCTGTTTATCCGATCCTGGCTGCTTTGACATCCGCATCTATGCCGTCGCCGCCTGTAGTTCAAACGATGCTGCATAGGAAGGTAAGTGAAAGAGATAACTTCCTTAACGTGTCTCCCGTTACTGGTGATTGGTGCTTGTTGTTGATGCTGTTGTTGGTTGCGTATCATTATCACCTCCGTCTTTTCTACATTCCCTTGAAGTCTCGTTTTCGCAGCCTGACCACTTCTGTCAACTTGTTAGTTTTTGCCTGTAGATCTTCGAGTTTGTGGTACATTAAATACAAATCATCGGCGGCTTATTCTTATCTACATGGATGAAAATCGGTCACAATGGTAGATTTAAATATTTTCAATTACCTTCATTTTCTAATTCCTTCCCTTTCCATACACCCTTTTTATTCTACTTTGATATCAATCATTTCGTATCCATTTGTTTTGTCTATGTATGTTATTGTCAAGCATGACAATTTAAACGGATACACTTGTATACGAGATTCTATGTTGAATTTATCTATTTGATGCAAGCCAATAAAGTCATGACAATGATATTAAGCATAAAGTTTATACTGAGTAATGATTGAAGGAACCTCGCCTGGTTACCTAGTTCACTAGTTACTAGCCCGTCCTAAGCCCAGGTAAAGACGGAAGGTTGGGCATAGGGCTTGTAACCCTAAACCGGAAAACCAGTCCAACCGCTAAAGAGACTTCAAAGCACAAAAAAAATATAAAAAATAATAACAAAATTATTCCTCGCTGGAATCGGAGAGGCGAAATGACGCCAGTTGGTGAAAGCCTGACTTCGCGAAGCCAATTGGCCGATGTGTCTTCTCTCCTTCGATGAAAGCGAAAGTAAACGTGGGGGACATGGAATGTCCGCACCATGTTTGAACCCAGCAAGGCAGCCCACATTCAAACGAGATGAAGAGCTATCACATTGAAGTGCTCGGAATTTGCGAAAGCAGATGGAATGGGAGTGGACTCTCCAAACTGTCAACTGGAGAATCAACAATCTACTCCGATATTGTCACCCAGACGACAACCACGAGAACGCTGAGTTATGGAGCGGCTACCATGATGTCCCCAACAGCATCGAAGGCTCTCTCTCATGCAGTGGGAACCAATCTCCTCATGCAGGATCATGACAGCAAGATTCAACTCAAAAGGAAGGAAGGTCACAATCATACAGTACTACGCTACTCACTTACAAATAGTGCAGATGAAGAGAAAAAGGAGGAATTCTATAGACAACTGCAATCAACACTGACAAGACACCGCCTCAGTTGGCGATATCAAAATTCTAATGGGTGAGGTGACGTGAATGCCAAACTGGGAGGGGGCATCACAAGAAGAGAACTAACCATGGGTCGAGAAGCGCTAGGTGAAATGAATGAGAACGGAAAACGCTTCGCAGTTCAAAGATTTAGTGATTGGAGGCAGCGTGTTCAAGCACAAGGATATCCACTAAGTGAGCGACATGGATTTCACCAGACACCAGGACACACTAAAAATCAGATCAACTTTATCTCAATCTCAAGAAAATGGAGACGCAATCTACTTGACACACGGTCAAGAAGAGGGGCAGATGTAGGTTCAGACCATTCAGTATCTAGTGCAAGCAACCTACCTTCCAAATCAAGTTAAAAGCCTTCAAGGAAGCTGGTGATAGACCTCAATTCAAGTACAACACTCGGAAACTGAAGGATGAAACTACAAAGGAAATCTTCACGGCAGCCAGCCATCAAGACAAAATGGGAGACATCGAGGAACATCCCTGAAGAAACCTGTGTGGAAGAACACTGGAAGTCTTTGAAAGCTATGTGGAAAGAAACCTGCACAATAGTATTAAGAAGGAAGAAGAAAGAAGATAAGGAATGGATCTCGATGGACACATGGAAGCTGAGGAGATGAGTGAGAGGAGGATGGTGAAGCAGAAGATAAACCAGTGCAAGGACGCTCAACGACAAGAGGAACTGTTTACTATGTATAAAACACTGGACAAAGAAGTGAAGAAGAGTGCACGCAAAGACAAAAGACACTTCCACAACACACTGGTAAGTGAACCAGAACAGGCTGCAGGTAAGTGAGACCTGATAACATTGTATCAAATAACCAGATTACTATCTGGGAAGAGATCAACGCAGACGAAACCAATAAAAGATGGTGAAGGAAATTTAATTAGAGAAGAAGAGAAACAGAGGAAACAATGGGCCGACGACTTCAAGAAGCTCTTGAATCGACCACCACCACCACCACCTGCAACTCGTCCAGAAATACCACCTGCAGCCGCTGAACTACAAGTGAACGTAAATCCTCCAACGAAAATGGAAGTCCTGAACGCCATACAGCTACTGAAATGTGGGAAAGCAGCAGGACCAGACGGGATCCCGCCAGAAGCACTGAGAGCAGACGCAGAGACAACAGCGGACACGCTCACATCACTAATGCAGAAGGTGTGGAAGGAAGAGAAGGTACCTGTCCATCGATTGGAAGAAGGGTTACCTTGTCAAACTGCCGAAGAAGGGAGACCTCAGTGTTTGCAAGAACTGGCGCGGAATCACTTTCCTGTCCACCCCAAGTAAAATATTAAGCCGCATCATCCTAGAGTGGCTAAAGGATGCGCTAGATTCAAAACCACGACCGGAACAGGCAGGCTTCAGGAAGTACAAATCATGTGCGGACTAAATTGCAACGCTATACTGAGCATCATCATAGAACAGAGTATAGAATGGCAGTCGACTCTCTACCTCAACTTCATCGACTTTGAGAAGGCCTTTGACAGCGTCGACTGAGAGGTAATTTGGAAACTGCTCCAATACTACGAAATACCACAAACCTTTATCTGCCTCATTCAACAACTATATGAAGATGCCACATGCCAGCCAAGTAATTCACAATGGGAAGCTCAGTGATGCTTTTGAAGTGAATACAGGAGTGAAACAAGGTTGCCTACTATCCCCTATGATATTCCTGATTGTGGTCGACTGGATCATGCAGCAAACAGTGGGGAGCTTTGAGAAGAGGGGGATACGCTGGACTGCGGAAAACAACCTAGAAGATCTGAATTTCGACAGTGATGACTTGTGTCTGATGTCACACAAACTTGAAGATCTACAGGCGAAAACTAACAAGTTGGCAGAAGAGGCGGGGCAGGCAGCGAAGACGGGACTTCAGGTGAAGACAAGAGAGAGAGAGAAGACAAAAGTGATGAAGATAGCGCACGAACAACTCCAACAAAAACAACAACAAACTCCAATCACCATGAACGGGAGAAACTTAAAGGAAATAACGTCCTTCACCTTTCATCACGCATCAGGCCAAGTACTCGAGTGGAATCCAAAGGCGAAATGGCGAGTTGGGCGTTTGTGGCGAGGGTGACATGGAGCAGATGGTGTGAGGAAGAAATGAAAGCTTGGGAGCAGTCGTGGAGCAATGTATACGAAGACTAGAGAGAATAGAGTGGAATGGAGGCGTGCTACTGAAGTCTTATGTCCTTGTCTTATGACTTGACGTTGGTGTTGAAAATCTACATCTTGTTCCACATGCTGAGTGCAGAAGATCTCCACACTGGTTTCAGGGTAATGAACGCCTGTCTTGGTTTTCCTACCCTGGTTTTGACATCCCCGCCTGTGGCACCTGTAGTTGAAACGATGCTGCCTAGATAGGTGAAATAGGCTACTTCCTATAAGTTTCTTTCATTGATGATAATTGGAGCTTGTTGTTGTTGGTGGTGGCGTTGGTGGGTATCTTCATTCCCTCCGTCCTCTCTACATTCACTAGAAGTCCCGTCTTCTTTTAACTTGTTAGTTTTTGTCTGTAGATCTTCAGGTTTGTGTGACATTAGACACAAGTCATCG